TGGCCAGTCTAACTGGGGTGAGATGATATCTCAATGTGGTTTTGATTTGTATTTCCCTAATGCTTAGTGATGTTGAGCATTTTTTCATGTGTCTTTTGGCCATTTGTATATCTTCCTTTGAGAAATGCCTATTCATTTTTTTTAATTGCATTACTTATTTTTTTACTGTTAAGTTGTTTGAGTTCCTTGTGTATTCTGGATATTAATCTCTTGTCAGATGCATAGTTTGTGAATATTTTCTCCCATTCTGCAGGTTGTCTTTTCACTCTGTCAACTGTTTCTTTTACTGTGCAAAAGCTTTTTAGTTTGCCATAATTCCATTTGTTTATTTTTTCCTTTGTTGCCTGTGTTTTGGGTGTCTTATTTGTAAAGTCTTTGCTCAGTCCTACTTCCTGAAGTGTTTTCTCTTTGTTTTCTTTTAGGAGTTTTATAGTTTTGAGTCTTATGTTTTAGTCTTTAATCCATTTTAAGTTGATATGGTATATAGCAAGAGGTATATGTCTAGTTTCATTCTTCTACATATGGACGTTCAGTTTTCCCAGCACCATTTATTGAAGTGGCAGTGTTTTCCCCAATGTATGTTCTTGGTGCCTTTATCAAAGATCAGTTGGCTGTAAGTATGTGGGTTGATTTCTGGGTTTTGTATTCTGTTCCATTGGACCAAGGCTGGCTGAATTATTTTAATGAACTCTATCCCCCTCTTCTCTGCATCGTCAGACTTTTGATGTTGCTCCTCAGGAGGCAGAGCCTTGGGTATGCAGAGTCACCTCAGATAACAATGATTTTGATAGAACTCTCTTTGTTCCATTCCATGAACACACAGCTGTTGAACTCCATTAATTGCTGGCTGATTGTTCTATTGTTTTCAACAATACACCGGGATAAAGATTGCTCTGCAAGACCAATCTAATCAAATTCTGGCTATTCTGAAGGAAGAGTTCCTGAGATCAGTGTTTGATATTTGTTCTGACCCCAGGAGAGCTCCTCCTCATTATCTCATTCCCTGGTTCTCCCCTGCAAACTAGCTAGGCCTACAGATTACCTGTATCTCCAATGAATTTACCACAACTATCACTGTTTTCGAGATTATCTTTAGGCTCAAACTTCTCCATGCTGTTGCAAAAACGTCAGTTCCTTTGGAAAGAGATTGACAGCTGTTTTATGGTCTCTGCTCCCCCCATCTCACCCCCCCCCCAAAATCTCTGAGCTAGGGCTCTGAAGCAGGAAGTAGAGGCAATTCAAGCTTTTCTCTGAGTGACACCTGTTGGGGAAATAGAATAATTTAATCAGGACCCCTCACGGGGGTAGTGTGGCCCATTCTTTGTAAATAAGTTGTGTGTGGGTGGAGTTAGTGCAGATGTGCAGCGCCACCACCTGGCTGGCATCTGCCTCAGGCGTCCACTGTGCATGGCCGTGCTCTCCAACCTACAGCGTCCAAGGACCTGTTTGGCCAGTTACCTAGCTCCTAGACCTGCATGTGAAGGGTTTGTGACCCAGTCTGTGAATGGGATTGAGGGGTCTGTGAGCTCCAGACCCAGCCCTAGCTCAACAATTGTCCCAGTTGGCAGGATTATGGGCAGGTAAAAGTAGCTGTACAACACCTCTGCTTTAGGAGGTGAGTGCTAACAGAAGGAGGACTTTAGGTCTTCTCAACTTGAAGTTACTCTGCCAGCATGAAACCAATGCCTGACTAGCCTGGACAAGGGTGATTAGGGCCCCAATAGCATAGTGGTACCATACCCAAGATACAGCCTTCATCCCATGAGAGGAGGTTGGGCAAAAAAAGGGAGTTCCCACTTCTCAGCTGCAATCACTGTAACCTCAGCAATCAGTAGATGGAGGAAGGATAAACAATGCTGATGCCCTGCCCCTCCCAGGATGATATCCTTCAGGCTGAGAGGTGAGGAGTGCAGGAGAAGACTTGTGTTCTTCATTGCACTACTCTGCAATGGTGTTTCCATCTCACTGAGCTGGGAGGGGGAGAGGAAGGAAGAAATCCTGGCTGTTCAGGCTGCTGTAACAAAAATACCTTAGACTGGGTAATTTGTGAACAACAGAAATTTATTTCTTACAGTTCTGGAGGCCAGGAAGTCCAAGATCAAGACAGCAGCAGATTCTAGTGCCTGGTGAGGGCTTGTTCTCTGCTTCAAAGATAGTGCCTCTTGCTGCATCCTCACATGGCGGGGGAGCATAAGGGATGAAGAGCTCCCTTGCACCTCCTTTATAAGGTTATTAATCCCATCATGACTTAATTACCTCCTAAAGACAGAGTCAGATCATAGCACTGGTTCAAACATCACTGACTAATTTTAGTATATGAGGGTACTTCAAAAAGTTAGTGGAGAAATAGAATTGAAAGATAATATTAATCTTTCCGTGAATTTCTTTGAATACCCCCGTATTTTCTTGAATAGATGTTTCTTCATTTGCTGTATGCCCTTAGGATCTTTTCCAAAGACTTTAAATAGTTGATTTTTAAAACTAATTTTCACCAGTTTCACTTGGGAGCAGGTCTGCAGGGCTCTTCTCATGCTGGAAGTTGATCTCTGGAGGTACCTCTCTTACATCTCTCATCCTTCCACCTACATTTCCTTTCCAACAGCCTCCTTACTTAATTTCATCATCATTTTATATTCAGTTTATTGGTTATAAAAAAATTATTCACAGCTAAACCATGTAGTACTACAATCATATTTCTTTTTTTACATACATTTTAGTTTTCTGCAGAGTTACTAACTGCCTTGTAATTTTTCTATATTTTGTATGATCTATAACCAATCCATTCTCAATTCTCCAGGAATTTAAGCAACTCTCAATATGGTGAAACACTTCAAAGAACATATCAATTTTAACGTTTTTCTTAGTGGTCTCCTCCCTGGAGCCCTTGTCCTCCTGCTGAAGTCTGCACTGATTGCTCAATAGGCATGCTGCACGGGTGTCTTGTGGGGGTTTTCTTCCATCAACCTGGATGTGTACTTTGGCTTTTTCCTGTTTTGGATCCCCATGTTTCCCTTTTTTCAGTCTTGTATCATTTTGATGGAGAACAACCTCCAGGAGTTTTCTGAGAGGGTGCCTCTCTCTGTAAATGGCCTTATAACACACTCACTTTTGATTGATAGCGTGGCCTAATATAGAAAACTAGACAGGAAATCCTCTTCACTCATAATTTATAACATTATTTTATTGTCAGTTTCAACAGTTTTTTCTATTAAATGCAACATTTCTAAATAAAAAACAGGCTGCTTTCTGCTCAGAATTAGTATAGAACCCAATGCAAACTAAGCGTGGCCTAGTCTTGGTATCGGGGAGCAGTAAAACTGCTCCGGGTGAGGTTCGAACGCACAACCTCAGCGTTACTCATGTACTGTCTTACAAGTACCGCGCACTAACCAATTGCGCCACTAGAGCTTTGCTAGGTGTGTCTTTGGGGAGATGTAAATGAAGACACTTTTACAAATAAAGATTTTTGTTTAAGGAATTAATATGAACAAAAAGGCATCTTCTGATATGGGACTTCCACGAGTGGAATTTAAAGCAGAATCAAGGGAACCAGGGAACTAGCCGACCCCGAGCCTGTTTCCCCCACAACCCAAAGATGCTCCGCAGGCTGAAGTCACCTGAACCTTGATTTTCCACTCAGAGTTCCCCGCAGCTTCTCTAAATTCAGACTATTTGAAAGCATTTGAATGAAAGGAAGTCACACTGGTTCCACAAAGGCAGGACGCTAAAGTGTCTGCATATTAAACAGACGTGTCTATCACTGCACTCTGGGAGAAGTTTCCACGTAGGAGTGTGTATTCGGCCTGTACGAAACCAGTGCACTCCGGGTGCTCCGGATTCACGCGCACCCTGCGTCTCTGTCACCCTATTTTCCTGCACCGCCACTGTCCGCGCTCAGCTAGCCTTCCTTCTATTTTAAATGCCATCCTCTCACCCCCACCCAGTCACTCGCTGGTTTTTAATCTAAGAACGTTAAAATACTTTGCTACCCTGAAACAATCAGAGAGCTAATATGTCCTTTAGAAAAAAAATCACTATTTTAAATGTATGGAAGCAACAAATGGTAAGTAAATGCAGAAAAACGATGAGATAATTATTTCAAAATTTTCTAAAGTCTCATATCTTGAACAATCCATTGTTTACGTTTGTTATATTTTGTTTCAGGCTTTTTACTATGAAAGTTTACAGATAAAGATGAACTATTTTAAACATTTTTTTAAAGGTATTAAACAATATGAACAAAATGGCCCCTTGCATCAGCACATACCTTTTGACTTTTTTCAAATTGAATGTCCTTTGGCCCTCCTGTGACACAGTCAGCTAGTGGGTTTCCCCGCATTACCTGGTAAGTCCACTCTAAGGTGCCCGCTTTTCTGAACTTTTGATCCCTTATTTTTGCCGTCTGTCACAATACTATTGGCATTTCTATGACATTTAGTTTTTCCAAGCAGGAGGCACTGTAAACCTGAGTTGGGATCTTGCCAGTGCATAAAAATTCTGTATTCAGAGAGAGTGCTCTAATATCAATGAACTCTTTCCTTATCTAACTTTATGTTTCACTCCCCTTGTTCAGAAACCCTTAGAATCTACTTCTATATGGGGCAGAAGCAAATAATATTTTGCAGGGCAGAGTCATCTACATTGTTTTCAAGCAAGAAGGAAATGCTCATTAAAGAGGGGTGTGCTACCTCTAAAAGGTTTGGGGGTCCTGGGAAATCTGAGGATTTGGATGTTGTAATGCATAAAATTGGATGTCTTCATTCAATGTCTCAAGTTTCTATTCTTTTCCAATCAAGGCCATGACCTTGGCATATGCACCATTTTCTTGGCCCTGGGGGTCTCAGGAGGCAGGACTACACATAGTCTCTGCCAGGAGTCTCTCAGGGAGCAGGACCACATGCAGCCCTGCCAAGAGAGTGCAGGAAAGTGAGTTGCTCAAAGCACACCTGAGCTAGAGACTGCCACCTGGGGAGGTGGTCAACCACAGACCAGACACAAAGTTCTGGGGCTTAGTGCACACACTAAGCAAATTTATTGGGAAAAAGCAGGTATTATATACGTTTCAGCCAGCCGCAAACCCCTCCCATCACTTCCCCATCTCCTAAATAACTCAATAGGAAGTCTGTGGTTTGAGGTTAAGCCTTGCAAAATCTTGCTGACACAGTATATTCAGGCAAAATACAGTTGAGACAAGCAAAATACAGGAGAGCAAGAGTGCCTCCATCTTTAACAGGTGTTCTCCTTTGTTTTCCTCCAGGCATAGAAGACTAGACTGGGGTTTAACTTTCTTCGGAAATTTCTAATACTATTATTAAGTCTTGGGTCTAAACCTTAGCTTTCTGTACCCTTGGGTTGCAGGATATGAGAGGGTCTTTATACAATCCCATGGAGATACTCTTTTCACACTTAACCTTTATTTAATGATATATTATCTTCAGCCTTTCATTGTCTCTTTCCAAAGCATCAATTTCCTCTAGCAATGACATCCAATTGTATTGCCTTATAATTACCATTCCCCCATGTTTCTCAAAAACCTAATACATCGTATCTGTTAGTGCATATCTTTCCTCTAGTACACCACACCAGTCAGTTCAGGTTTGGTGAAAGTTTTAACAATTGCTCTGCTACTTTGAGCCAGTGACTGTTTGAGCTCCACCCATCCCCTTATTATCAACCAGGTGGTCGGTAATTCAGCTTCAAAAATCTCATCTTAGCATCTTCTTTCTCAGATCATTTTTAGTACCAACAATTGCAGGCTGAGTTCCCTGGAAAGCAGAAGCTAAGATGGAGATTTGTATTCAGAAGGTTCAGTAGGGCATTACCTCAGGATCGACAACTGGGGGCCAAAGAAGAAAAGCAGGATTTATCAGATGGTAAAATTGGGCTGCAGTGCAAGCATGAAAAGGCATCAGCCCACTCCTTGAGGGTTTCTGCAGCTGGAATGACCCTTCAGAGTTGTCCTAAGTTGAGCAGCCAGGGCTTGGCCTTTACACTCTTCATTGATCAGTAATTGGATACAGGCTGCCTGGGAAAGGGGATTCGACCCTGGCCTGAGGCAATTCCTGATGAGGGATGAGAGCTGAGAGCCATCAAGTGACAAACTTCCAAACATCTGCAAGGATAAATCCTTCTGTCTGGGGGATTCAGGTAGTCTGGGAAATACACCATCTGTGATAGAGACTGCCTGGGAAAGGGGATTCGACCCTGGCCTGAGGCAATTCCTGACGAGGGATGAGAGCTGAGAGCCATCAAGTGACAAACTTCCAAACATCTGCGAGGATAAATCCTTCTGTCTGGGGGATTCAGGTAGTCTGGGAAATACACCATCTGTGATAGAGTTAGCAGGAGGAGAGAGATAAGATGACTTCGAGCACAGAGCAGGATTTAAAAACCACCACAGAGATCTTAGATGCTTCAGAAAACATTTTATTAGAGACAGTGGCAGGGCCAAAGTTGCAGTACTAGGTTTGAGAGAGGAAATCCCATCCTTCAAAAGATAAAGGGCATTCTTGCCCAGGTACCATAACCCAAATGAACTAAAGATCAGACAATCAGGAAAGCTTTTGTAAGGCCAGAAAGAGGTGCTGGGTTCCATTAGCATGGAGGTGCCCTCCCTTCATATGAGGCTATATTCTTGCTCCCACTCTATCTTAAGGCTCCCACAGGAGAAAGACAAGCAGGGGGAGGTGTTACAAATGGAGACTGATCCAAAAAATGTTGGAAACTGACAATATATGTCTGTCCTGGGCGACAAAAAAGTGTTATGAAGTGGAAGCTAGATTGCATGACTATAACTGCATCGTTACTTTTATGCCTCTAGAGTGAAGAGTAGGAGGTCAGAGCATCAGAGATGTTTTGCAGATTATGACAGCAGACGGAACCATCCTCATGGAAGGATGATTTTCCTTTGATGGATATGAAAGATCAAATTTGTAACACAGGTCTGGGGGTTTAGGGTTTCCATTCTTTTCCTCTTCACCCACATATTCTTTTAAGGAGGAATATCAGTAGCCTTCTGAATATAAATCGACTTGGTAGAGAGTGAGCACTGTGGCAGCATGGAGGTGATTTAGTCAAGTGGAGGCCATGTAGGAAGACAGTGTGGTGAGAAGATGGATTTGGGGGGGATCAGGTCTTTAGGTGAGAAGCAGGGTGGCTCCTGCCCCCAACTTTTCCTTCCTATTTAGTTTTGAATTGATTCAAGTATGCCAGGATGTCTGACTTGACTGTGCTGACTGGAGTTTTGTGGAACCAGCGCATGACAGGTACTCCATCAGGCCCCACCAGGAACTTTTCAAAGTTCCAGCGGATGTCATGAACTCTCACAGGTTCCCAGGAGATATGTCTGAATGAGCCCAAAATCTCAGAGGGGTGAGGACAGGAGTGCTGAAGCAGAGAGAGGGAAAAGAGAACAGCATCATTTCTGCTCCTGGGTGATCCAGGTTATCTTCACCCACAGGTAATCCGCTCCCTTCTACACCTAGACATTTTAATAACCCATGATTCCTCATAAACCCCACAAATTCTATGAATTACCACCATGCCAACTACCAAGAATGTTGTAGATATTATAGCAAAAGTCTTTCTTTCCGTTTCTCCCTATGACCCCATCACAAAATCGTGCTGCCATGGGTAAGATATGTCACCTCTCTAGCTTTCAATGTCCTTCTCTGCAAAGTAAAAGTTGTTTCCCATGTCTTGGGGCTCCTTGGGTCAATAACATTTTAAATATCTTTTAAGACCATCATAGCATTACTACAGTAATACAGTATTTTGTCAAATAAGAAAAAAATTTTAAAACATCGTCATTTCATCATTTAATTTAAAAAAGACCACTGTAAGAATAAATTGCATGTGGGTCATAATTTTAGAATAAAGAGCAGCCCTATAATTTAGACAAGTTGAGTTTATGAAACCCCCC